CATCACGATGTGGAAATATTTGTGTAATGCCGCCCAAATGTTCACACAAAGAAAGAAGGCGTGGTTTCAGCAACCGCAGTAGTGTTGATGCAGTCATGTCAGGGAGACGCTGTGTGTTTCTGTGCGAAAGCAAAAGCACTTTATTTGGCCTTCCGAAAGTATAGATGCAATGAGGAATCATTGGTTAAGATTTATTTACAGCAGAAGAACGCAACCCAAATGTTCGAATTTGTCCAATGCATTTTATGGACGACAGTTTTGTGAACCTAGGAGAGTAGATTACAAGGCTGGCTGTGCAAAGGTGTAGAGTATCGCGTCGTGTGTGTGTGTGTGTGTGTGTGTGCGTGAGAGACAGAGACAGGGACACATTACAGTGGAGTCAGCTTTCTTAATCACGGCTTGTGTACTGCAAATACATACTAGCATCATCACTGTGTCTGTCACACGACTATGCTCCGCTTTCGGACTTGAACTGATGGTAAAACTAAGGACATTATTTACGGTCTTTACATTTATGTTGAAAGCTGAAGCTCGCGATTATGGAAAGGGGCGTTACATTTCCGACGCGTGCTTGTGGTGTTCGGCCAATCACAATGCACTGGGTCTGCTGAGAGCAGACTGTGCTTGTCGGAAGGAGAGGCTTTGTAGAAAACTACGCTTTTGAGAGAGGCGGGGCATAGAGGAACTACAGTAATGTACAGTATTTGAAAAAGAATGTGTTTTTTGAACATTAAAGCATGTCAACATATTCTGTTACACCAAATAATGATCTTTAAAATAGCATCATATGACCCCTTTAAGTTGTTAAAAATTCCAGATCTTTTTATCATAATATTTATATTTGTGTATGTATTTATAATATTTGATCATTAATCATATTGTATTGTCTTGTTAAAATTTTATTTTTCTTAATAAAATCTGTATATGTAATTTGTTTGGATGGATTGCCATTTTGTTGTCTATTACATGTATATATGTAGGCATTCGTTAGCTGTCTATTTGATGACTAGTCTATTCTTGGGCTATGGTTAGACATCTATTATGGGGCAGTCATGGCCTAATGGATAGAGAGTCGGACTTGTAACCCGAAGAAGGTTGTGGGTTGGAGTCTCAGGTCTGGCAGGGATTGTAGGTGGGGAGAGGGAATATCCAGCACTCTCTCCACCTTCAATACCACGACTGAGGTGAGACCCTTGAGTAAGGCACCGAACCCCTAACTGCTCCCCGGGCGCTGCAGCATTGTGTGTGTGTGTTTGTTCACTACTCACTGCTGTGTGTGTGTGCACTTGAATGAGTTAAATGCAGAGCACAAATTCCAAGTATGGGACACCATAATTGGCCACACGTCACGACCTTTCCTTTCTTATTAAATATTCACTGACAGCCCAAATTTAGCCTTGTTTTAGCCTAGACGTCTGTCTTTGGACGGCTATTAGACGTCTTTTAAACTGAAAATTGCTTGCTGGGTGGTGACAAGTGACTGTGTTTTGTCGTGTCTCAATTGTCTCCATCCCTAATCAAACACACCTGAACAACCTAATCAGGGTCTTCAAGATTAGGCAGCAAGAGGCAGGTGAGTTTCATCAGAGTTGGAGTTGCGCCAGGCCTCCTTGGATCCTTAAAAACGCATTTTCAAAAAGTGTCTTAAAAGCCTCCTGACTCACTAAATCAGTGCATTTTTCAGCAGAGTGTATTGTGAGGTCACAGGTTGAGAGGATGACAGCTCGAGTGTGCTGCTCGTTGATTGCTGCTTTATTTTGTGTCTCTGTATGTTTGAGCACAAGAGCTGAAGGAGCAGCCACAGGTGAGATATTTTAACTTCATTACACAGTGTGAAGAACTCTCTATATATATATATATATATATATATATATATATATATAT